TAGCATACTTTTTAAACGTCAGGATTACTTTTATAGAGTCACTGGGGACGCTTTACGCTGGGGCCAGTCCTATTTGAGTGACAGACGACAGTGTGTGGCCATAGTATCAGCCACATCCGATGATAAAATCCTCGGATTTGATGTTCCACAAGGGTCGGTGCTTGGACCTCGCATGTACTGTCTATACTCGAAACCAATTGGTGAGATCTGTCGTCGCCATAACCTGCTTTACCATTGTTTTGCAGACGACAAACAGATCTATATGGTTATCAGACCCCAACATAACTGGGATACCATCGCGCATAACATGGATGCCTGCCTGGTAGACATAAGTGTCTGGATGGACGCCAATAAGCTTAAGCTTAACCAGGATAAGACGGAACTCATTGTTTTCGCACCAAAGCATCAACAGACACACGATATCCAGCTTAAGGTTGAAATAAAAACCATTAAGGCAGCTCCAGTTGTTAAAATCCTGGGCGTACACTTCAACAGTTCAATGACCATGGAAAAACAGATGGATGATATTGCAAAAAGCTGTTACTACCAACTTCGGAATATTGGACGTATTCGGCAGTTTATCACTACGAATGCATGCAAGACACTGTTACATTCACTTGTGACTTCTCGCCTGGACTATGGGAACGCCCTTTTTTATGGAATCTCTGACTCGGCAACTAGACGCATGCAGAAAGTCCAGAACACTGCTGCGCGTCTGGTTTCCAGTACTAGAAAACGTGAGCACATTACATCCGTGCTACATTACTTACATTGGTTACCTGTGCATTATAGGTCACAGTACAAGATTCTGATGCACACCTACAAAGTACTCGATGGAACAGCTCCTGGTTATCTAACAGAGTTTGTCACTCCCTATCAGCCTTCACGTTCATTACGGTCAGAGGCTAAGTCCCTGCTATGTGTGTCTAAGTCGCGTACTGTGACTTATGGTGACCGTTGTTTTGGGAAGGTTGCCGCCACACTGTGGAAAAACCTACCATCACAATCCAGGAAGGCAACAACACTCGCCATTTTCAAAAAGGGTGTTAAGACCAATCTGTTCAGGTATGCTTTTTCTTAGACTAGTATTTTTTGCTACATGTACATACATGTGGTGTTTTTCTGGAGATCATGCGGACACAATGATCAGCATATCATGCATATATGTAGATGTCTAATGTATTATTGATACCACGACTGAAATTGTACATGCACTGTAAAGTGTCTTAGAAGAATTTGTTAAATTATATAGGGCGCTATATAAATGTTGTATATTATTATTATATCATTATAAACAATTATCGTCAACAATTTCCTCTCTATCGTCTGCAACATAAACAATTATCGTCAACAATTTCCTTTCTATCGTCTGCAACATAAACAATTATCGTCAACAATTTCCTCTTTATCGTCTGCAACATAAACCATTATCGTAAACAGTTTTCTCTCTATTGTCTTCTGCATAAACCTTACTCGTAAAAAGTTTTCTCTCTATTGTCTTCTGCATAAACTTTATTCGTAAATAATTTCCTCTTTATTGTCTTCTGCATAAACAACAGTCGTAAACAGTTTCCTCTTTATTGTCTACTGCATAAACAACAGTCATAAACAATTTCCTCTTTATTGTCTACTGCATAAACAACAGTCATAAACAATTTCCTCTTTATTGTCTTCTGCATAAACTACAGTCGTAAACAATTTCCTCTTTATTGTCTCTCAGCATAAACAACAGTCGTAAACAATTTCCTCTTTATTGTCTACTGCATAAACTACAGTCATAAACAATTTCCTCTTTATTGTCTTCTGCATAAGCTACAGTCATAAACAATTTCCTCTTTATTGTCTTCTGCATAAACTACAGTCGTAAACAATTTCATCTTTATTGTCTACTGCATAAACAACAGTCATAAACAATTTCCTCTTTATTGTCTACTGCATAAACAACAGTCATAAACAATTTCCTCTTTATTGTCTTCTGCATAAGCTACAGTCATAAACAATTTCCTCTTTATTGTCTTCTGCATAAACTACAGTCGTAAACAGTTTCCTCTTTATTGTCTACTGCATAAACAACAGTCGTAAACAATTTCCTCTCTATTGCCTACTGCATATACTACAGTCGTAAACAATTTCCTCTTTATTGTCTTCTGCATAAACAACAGTCGTAAACAATTTCCTCTCTATTGTCTACTGCATTAACTATAGCCGTAAACAATTTTCTAATTTGAGTCTACGATATAAACTATGGTCATAAACAATGTTCTTCTTTAATGTTTACGAAATAGAATGTCAACATGTGTTCTAATAGTTAGCGAGATTGGTATGTGGTTTGTCTGTATGGAAAGTTAGGTTATATCACAATGCACGACTGGTCCTGTAACATACAAATTACAAATATTGATGTTTTCGATTTTTACTGGGTTCCGAATGCCAACATATCCCCTGTTTCCGTTGCTTCCATTTCGTCTACTTGAATGTCAGCGTTTTATTTGTACTAACTCTATGAACTTGGTCCATCGCCTACACTGAGCTGGGAATCAGCGTAGATTTTACGTCTTAAAATGATTTTATTAGTTCTTTTGTTCAATATTTGGTGTTTGATTGTAATAAAAGCTTTGAAGCATTCATTACACTAATCAGTTTGTTTCAGATGATAATGCAAAATACAATACATGCTATAAAATTATGGGTGTGTTTGATTAAATTCTCTCCGTAGAGTGTGTATCAGTTCGGTATGTAAACATATGTTTAACCTTCATACCAATATGAAAGCACAACTGGCACATCCATAACTTAAACAAACAATGGACTCAATGGACCTGAAACGCTCACTTGTTCTGAAGCTAATAAAGGAAAAAAATCAAAATAAGTCAATTTCTGCTTACCCGAAAGCCCATTCCCCAAGCAAGCTACTTCACAAATACCCTGACCTAAGGCTAGGTAGATATTGAAAAGAAGTTTAAAGTTCTGGACACGTTTTATGCTACTGTTATTGGAAATAGGTCAAGGTCATTCACTTGACAGTTTGGTAACTCCTCACCCTAGCTTACTACAGACCCAATATCATTACCGTGGACTGTTGGCTAGTGTTAAGGAGTCGTTAAAAGATTTCAATATATTTGATCCTGTCGACATTGAAAGTAGGTCAAGGTCATTCATTTGAACAAACATCGTAGCCCTTTATCCATGTGTGCTGCTTGCTCAGTATCAGTTACCTGGGCCTTTTGATTATTGAAAAGCTGCCACGTCTAGACTTTAAGTTATTCGACACGTGTGACCTTGAAAGTGAGTCAATGTCATTAATTTGAACAAAGTTTCAGTCCATATATTGGCATGTTCTTATTCAATATATGCCTACTTTTTATAGGTTTGATCTGATATGTATCTATCCGAAGTAGACGCATAAAAAGGCTTTCATTTTGCAATGACCACGTGCTTGTTTAGATATTGTTACTAGAAAGAATAACAATATATTGAAAAAAATGGTATCACCGAGTGTCTGCTAAGTCCCCAGCTGTAGCCAGATCTGGAGTACAATGCATGGGTTGATAAGTACTGAGGATAGCTGATCATAAACAGACGATAATACTCCTTCCGTTGCCTTAATTACAAGTGCCAAATTGTTTTCATAATCCAATGAACGTCTTTTACCATTATGTTCATATTGTGGCTAGCAACGCTAACATAATTATAAGTGAATACAAACAGCACCAAGGGAATCCATTGCATAAAGGAGCGCAATATTCTCTAAAGGTCGACTTTTTTATGTACAATCTTTTAAGAGTAGATCTTCTGTTACCAACAACACTTACAAAGATGACGATATGTGTGATTATCTACGGCACGTCAGGGCACGGTGCCCAGTGCTTGGGAACTCGGAAACAATGGCATTAAAGTTTCTGCACCTTTCTTGAATTCTTGAATCCTCGTTTTTCTGCCTGATATATTGCTTGACATTTCCTCTCATCTCTCCTTTGTATCTAGTGTCCGTCCAAGTTTTATATAGGATAAATAAGACTAGAGTTTCTGTTTCTGTTATGAAACGTATAAAAGTAATTTATTTTACCCAGCTTCTATCGAGGTAAATTAAGACATTTGTGACGAGTGAAGTAAATTTCCAATACAATGGAACTAATGTAATATTCTGTTTATCACGTAACTTAAATACTAAGTAAGCAATTGTAAAAATAGCATCATATTACACTAATATTAAAAAATGTCGTGTCGTATTGAGGTACTTATACAAAACTTTCTTTTTGTAAACTGCTTTGCTGTTTATTTTCAATTTTATCGTCTTTAGAAGGAAAAAATAAGAGAAATAGGTTTGCTTATGCAATTTCTACGTACATACTTTTATGAATTGTCCCCTAATTGAAAAAAAAAGTATTAAAATCCTGTAATCTTGAAACAAAGCAAACGTTTCTCGGAATAGATCAATGGCATACTCCCTTTAAACTAATTCATTATTGAATTAACAAAATACATCGAAATATATAACATTTTTATATTTTAATCACCATCTTCCATACCATAACTTAGAATGATTTTTTGTCCGTTATAAAAGGCCTTCGGCGTCCATCGGACGAATGAGTTATCGAGACACCTAAATTTGTACCACCTCTCTTAATTTAACTTTATAACTTTGTATTTGTTTTTATGTTCTGTGTTTGTGATGCAATTTATGTTATTTTTGTGTCTTGATAAAGGGGCAGGTTGCCTCGAAAGTTGACAATTCAACTTGTCTGTACTGTCGTTATTACTTCATTGATTATATATATATAAATATTTTTTTTTCGCGTTTCCCTATTAAAATTGAACACTAGATTGCCGAACTTTGATTTTCGTAACTAGTCTTGTTGTTTTCCATAATTTATGTTCCTAAGCAAGCACAGACAAATCCTCAGAGAATGAAACCATTGTTTTATTAGGTGTTATTGACATGTTTATCATTTGTATAAAACATCTGTTTAAAAGTTACCAAGCGACCTCTTTATTTTTAGGTAAACTAGCATCCTACCTCATGGTTTGTTGTATGTCTCTTCACGTGATGACCTTGACAGCTATAGGCATTGACCGTTACATGGCAGTTGTTCATCCTGTTATGTCAAGAACATTGAGGTTAGTGATAAACAATTACTTTACATTCTTTTATTCACCAAGTTTATGCTACATTTGTGTAAGAACATTCGGAAGTTAATGTATATACAGTATATATATTTTTATTTAATGTTATTATAATTTGTATTGCAGAACGAAAAACAGGACGCTCCGTATCCTTGTTGCTATTTGGTTCATTTCTATCACCGCATTTTCACCCGTAATCAGGATTACCCGGGAGATTGTGTCGTTTAAGACGTTTTGTATGGAAACTCTCGAGAAAGCTCAAATGAAAATATACGTTACAATGCTATTCATTTTCATGTATGCCATACCGCTGTTCATCTTGGGATTCTGCTACATCGAAATAGCCAGGAAAATGAGAACAATTTCTTCGGTAGGACTACGATTTAATCAAATGCGCATAGCGACCATTCAAACAAGACAGAGAATCCTAAAGGTGTTTTTTGTCGTGACCTTGACCTTTGCTATTTGCTGGCTTCCATTACACGTGGCAGCCATTATGGATGGTTTTGGAATGACAAACAATCAATTTTTGTACTATGTGAAAATTTACTCGCCTTGTTTTTCCTATTCTACTACAGCAACGAATCCCGTCATTTACTGCTTCGTAAGTAAAACTTTCAGAAAATTTTGTAAGGCAACCTTTATCTGTGAAAACGTTAATATAAATACGATGTTGTTTGGTGAAGAAGGAGAAGTGATGTCCAACTTACCACGAACTCGTAGACGAGAACAGCGGGAACTCCTTTCTTTGCCTCCCAGAAGAGACAATGTAAATGGTAGGCAACCATTATTTATTACAGTTCGTCCAGCAGACTTGCTTTACACACAGACGTGATTAGGCTCCTCTAAGGATGCTAGAATTAAACAATACGTCTAATTCTGAATATTCATCATCCTCTCCAGTGTTCATATTTAAATAAAAGAGTCCTAGGAGCTCGATAAACATGCCATCACAGCGAAATGAGATGTTCAAGACTTAGTATAAAATTTGTATTCCTTGTCTGACGATGTGCAGATAAAAAAACATAGTTACAAAGGATTTGAAAGTTCTTTTTTCTCAACATGGAAAATATAAGAAAAGAAAAATGAAAAAAGCTGGTCCCAAATATCTCAGTAAATGAAATTTGATTTTATCAATCGCGTGAAACGTAATTGAATCAGATATTAGGTTTTGATAACAAATGACTAGGAAATGTTCACATATAGCTATGTTGAACTTGCTCAAAAGACAACCAATTGTAAAAGTCGGTATTTTATAATATATATTCTATACTTCCTTGCAGTGCCTTTAATGTTGCTGTCATATAAAAATTATTGTTGTGACGATGACATCAAAATATAAGCTCAATCATTTTAATAACAAACTTGTTCGTACTCTTTTGAATGTATACTTTTCATTTTGGCTATTGTGTACACTCATATTATTAAACATTTCAATCAACTAAATATAGCAACCTAAAGTTTGCTTTTTCAACAATTCCTAATTTTCGAATATTTGCATTATTCATATAACGCGAAAGGTATTGTTGTTGCATTTGTTAGTGACAATATTGCATTTGATATGGAAATTGCGTGTATAGTTCTTCATTAGACAATTGTTTAAAAATTAAGAAATGGAATGGGCATACAATTGATGAAATTGTATGAGATCCAAGAAAATGTGTTTTTCCTTATTTCCCAGCATTCGCGAGACTAATTTTAAGGTTCAGTGTCTTGTTTTTTTCAACTGCGTAAACTAGACAATTAAGTTGTATTATTTTAACTAAACTTTAACCGTTTGGATTTGGTTGAAAATATCATTAGTTAAGCATGGAACGTAGGAGTCTTCGACTTGAAATTTACCTGTATAATTCACATTTGTAAGGTCGCAGATTAAGATAATATGTTTTGTGTATGATTTAGTAAATTTGTGTTCTTGTATAATGTTCATACATATGAATAGTATACATAGTATATAAAAGATATCTTTGTGTTGAGGAGTGCGGTAATATGCCAACATCAAAACAATATCTATGCACTTTCGAACGTGTCTCAAAAGTCTAAAAACACTTCATAATGAGAACCGGATTGGTCGGTGCATAAATGATCTTGAAATCATGTATTTTGGATGGAATATATATATATATATATATATATATATATCTAAATAACCAATATTAAATTATATTGTTAACAATCGTCTCATATAATCTATGATGACAAAGTGTTGACGTTAAAATAGATATGTATATATAAATTGACCATTAATTTTATGGGAAGGTATAATTTCCGTATTATTAAAAGGATACTTTCATCAAGGAGGAAAAGATTATTTCATGGAGTCACTTGATTAAAATTCAATCGAGATTAATTTAAAACTGATAATTGAACATCAATTATATAATTGAAATATATATCATGCTTTTTTCTTCTTCTTCATCACCTTTTTCTTCTTTTTCATCAATTATGTAATTTTTTTTTTGTCTTTTATGCTACTCGCCAGAAACATCGATGTACTTCAATCATTAAGATGTTAAACAATTCCTTCAGAGCAAAATAAGTATGATAGAGGCTTATCTGAAGTGTTACTGTAAAAGAGTTTCACTGTTTGCCATGATTTTTATTGATATAATTACATATCAAGTGTTGTTATGACAGAGTTATGGCAACTACAACCATTGTAAATTTATTCAACTTTATTTAAACTGTTTACGAAAAAGCTTAGCGTTTGTAACAATTCTACAGTTGTGAAATTATCATAGTAAGATTTTTTGCGTTGTTATGAAAGAGAGGCATGTGCCTGTTGGATTTAACAAGAAATAAAATCATTAGACATACATTATTATTGTTTTGTACTTATTAACAACCCAAGTACCCTGTGAAATCAACACATAACTTTACTTTTCAAAAAAATAATCACATCAAATAATATCTGAGCACTTTATCTAAATATAAACAATATTCCGGAAACTAAGAGCATAACTTTCTCATGAAATATAAAAAAAACACTCTGAAAATAGATACTCAGATAATATCACCAACACATACTCTGGACCACAGGCAATAATTTCCCGTTTTCTGAGGTATTGCTGTCTGGTGTGTTGTTTGTCCCTAGTACTAGTTATGTTATACCATACAAGCTCCTCTCCCCAGAAAACAATTTTACATGCCCGTGCTCTTTCTTGAGATATTTTAGCATGGATTACAAGTATTTCACCCGGAAATTTCACAATACTGTATACTCATATATTTTCATGGACACCATTTTCGCACCTTTTTCGTGGACATATTAACTCGTGGACTAAGAGAACCCAAGAAATTAACGAATATAAAACCCACACAACAATTGATGATTTTGAAAATGCATGGAAACGATCAAATCGCATGGCAACCGGAAGCTGGAAAAATAGGCTGATCTGGGCAAATAAATAGAACACTTATTTAAAAGTCTGTTAAGTCAATTTTACATATCTGATGGAAACGTTTTCTCAATAGTGAATGTGATCAAACATGTTCGAAAGAAAGAATCATGTAAGTTTTTATTACAAAAAGAATCTATCGCATAAAAATTATTATTTACCTTTTTATATGTGTGATTCAAAAGTAAATAGAATATGCATTGCAGGAAACAGATGAATATAGATAAAACAATAATGACAATGAAGTGACAGCATAAACCTTTGTTTGAAATAGAAAATATATATCTCTTAATGCTTACAACTTTAAAAATATAATACAACTACGTGAAACTATTGAATTTCGTTAATCCCTTGGGTATTCCTAATCCATGGATTCATATATTCACGAATAATCACAAGTACATTTATAGAGCTATGTGCCTCCAAAACCACTAAAATTGAACCCCTCATTAAAATATTATTTATCAGTAGCCAATTAATGGATTGAACATGATGAGATGATGCCCATGCAATGACTCTAAAGAATAGAATTACCTTTCATCGGCAATGTATTAAAATATGCCGGAAGTAAACATACGTGTAATCAATTGCAAAACGACACAATAACCGAGGTTCAGGGTAAAAATAGATGAAGTCGGATAATCTTAAAGATCAGGATGATTAACCATACATCAAATGTACTGGAATAAATCCAAGAAAATGTAAATGCGAGCAGAAGATTCCCTAGAAAAGTAGGCAAACTTGACTAACCTGATACACAGCATGAAGCAAAAAAGACTTTGGGGAATAAACCATCGATTTAGAAATTAAATCCTCTTAAGATATTATTCATCTCTTCTTATTATAAAAATATCTCAGTCTCAGACACGTGATGTAATCGTATTGTCTAGTATTGTCTAGTACTTTGGTGTTATAAGACAGTGCTGAATAGCTTCGAAAGGTCGACAACCTCTTTTGCCGGCACAATTATCAGTTGCATCAGTGTGAAAAGTTAAATCAAACAAAATATAATCTTCGAGCCTGAGGTAAAATCAAAAGAGACTAAGGAAATGACATGATATAAATCCTAGGATATATGTTATATATGTGTACGTCACATCCTTGGATATATAGGCTTTATCTTAAGATCATATCTTAGGAAATAAAGGACATATATGTAGGTCACATCCTATGACATGTATAGGCTTTTATACTGCCACTGGCACTGCCATTGTCGCCACATATATTTTACAATATTCGGCAGGCACGGAAAATGGCATTATTTTAGCACGCGCGATAATTAGACAAATTTACTCTTTGAATTTACTTAAATATTATATTTAGAAATATAAGTAGTTGTTGAAATAAGCGATTTCACAAATTGAAATGAACAAGATAATTTATGAAAATTCATAAAATCGCTATTATATCCGATGAAGTTTAGAAGTATGTTCCCGCGCGGAGCAATTATTTCAGCGTAACGTCAATGTCAGGTAAACACAGATTGATACAAAGCTGTATTTTGTCTCGGGAAAGTAAGATAAAATACAGCTTATATTTGAAGTCATATATCATATTTGACCATGTATTCTCTATATATGAAGGTCACGTAACAAGGTAACAAGTAACAAAGACTATACGTTACTATAACTACATCTGTATTGTTGACAATTCGTTAGTGGTATAGCATATTGACAAAATAGATCTACCGGAAAGAAGTCCCATCAGCTTCCCTGGTCTGTTGTATAGCACCAAGGACGGCCTTCAATATTTAGAATGAACCAGTTCTCAAGATCACTACTGTCGGCAAAGAAATCATGGTGGGAATTAGGTGTTTGGGAGTCCCAGCGCTGACAGGGTATCCCTTCCATAGTGCACATCACTCTTCCCTCATAATCTGATAGGACTTGTCTGCTTGTACATCTCTCTGTCTCTATCGGCGGGCAACAATCGAATTTTGATATATATATTGGAATACTTTTTTTAGACATTTCTTGCTGAATATCATTTCTATACGCTATATTTCTGTTTGGATAAAATCAGATAGTGATTTCGTAGTTGTGGGGAAAAAACTATTCAATATTCAAAAATTATTGCATCGACCCCATAGTGACTCAATAATCATGCGGTCGAGTGCCATTTGTGAAAGACAGAGGCCTCAAGTTCGAGTCATTACGAAGACGTAAGTGCGTTCCCTGGAATAATCGAACAATTATCGAATTTCAGCTTGCTTTAAAAATTGAAAACGAATTCGCCACAAACACTGTATATTTTAAAGCTATATCTAAATACATTAACATTTTATTACATTCATGCTATGACAGAAAATGTGGTTCATTGTTAGTTTTTTCACTTAATGATAGCCATTTTAGTGTCTCTATGATTTTTTTTATTTCAACTTCCTCTGTTTGTTCTTGTAAAGAGATATAATATAAGCTACATCATACACATGTGGATG